AAAAGAAGATATAAAGAATTATCGGAAATACAATACCAATAGAAGTTAATTCACTTGGAGAATATTGTTTTTATGGATTAAAATCCATTAATATTCCATCAACAATTAGTAAAATAGGAAATAACAATTTTAGTAATAAATTATTAACATCAATCACAGTTGATAACTTGAAATTTATAAGTAAAGAAAGAATATTTATGAATGAACCAGCATTATTAAGTATTCAAACTCCACGTGATATACAACAAATAAACAAGAAAAAAGTAATACGAAGAAATATTAATGAATTTATAATACCAACAAGTGTAACTAAATTAACAGATGAGTGTTTTAAAGAATGTTATTCATTAACATCATTTAACATTCCTACAACAGTAAATGAATTAGGAAGTTATTGTTTTTATGGATGTTCATCATTAAAATCAATTGTTATTCCATCAACAGTTAGTATAATAGGAGATGAATGTTTTAAAGGATGTTCATCATTAACATCAGTTACTAAAACACTAAAAGAATCGAATGAAGAAAATACAAAATGTGTTTTAGTGTAACAGATAATTGAATCAACTACCATTTTTATATTTCAATATATTCTTCTTTTAACTCTTCTATTTTATTATGAATGTTGATTATTTATTCATGTTTAATTATTACCATTTCGACTTTAATACCTCTCTTATTTCTATAAAGTAAATTTCATTTAAGAAAATTATTCTACGAGTTGAATTTATTACAGTAATGATTGAATTGTTTAGTTTCTCATTAAGTAATGTTATTAAATGAACAGTGTAATTAATGTTGTTATTATCTGTTGTTTCATATAATAATTTAAACATCAAGAAACTATTAAATGATTTGAGTTGAACATTACCACAAAGTACATGCTTCATTATTTAGTTACAATTTTCTTGAATAAAACTAGTAATTTAAGACACATTCAACATAACCAAATAAATAATTCATTACAAATTGAATTATCTTCAATCACTTTGAATTTACCTTAATAACATTATAGAGATATATGAAATAACAAAAGAGTATTAGAAGTAACTAAAAGTTATGTAATGATAAAAAGAAACACACAACCAAATAATATTAATTATAAATGTGTATTATATAAAAATTCAAAGAATATAATGAATAAGAAATATATATTAATTTATATAAATTGATATTTTGAATAAAGAATAAAGTATTTTATGTTAATGATAATTAAATGTCAGTATCATATAAACATATTATAAATTTGTATAATTTATTAGAATAGTTTATACAAGAAATATAGTTTCAAATTTATTGAATAAAATAAGTGTTATGTAAGTTTGAATGTGGTGTAATTTCATTGACTAATTCAAAAGTATTTACAGCTAAATTCAATAAGTTTTGTTTTCTTTGGTATTCTCTTAGTATTTCAGATAAATATCATCAAGACAACATTCAACAAAATGATATGTCATTATTAAAAATAATAATAAACAAAATTAATGAAAATAAACAAAGATAACAGAATGAAACAATGAAACTTTATTGGTGTTTCATTATCTTTGTTATTGTTTTACATTAAAATAATTCATAACACTAATGAGAATGAACTGAATAAATTATATGATTCTTTTGTTCAAAACACTTCATTAATCTTTGTAAAACATCACAAAATCAGCAAATATTCTTCAACTTTTAATAAAAACATAATGAATTAGTATTTACACACTATCACTCAATACTTTCACGACTTTCAAGTAAACAGAAGTTTGTATTACCAAAACAAAAGCTTTTACTTTTTCATTGACTCTTATTCTATAAGTTCTACTCCACAATTCATACAAAACTTTCTACTGTGTTATGCATTTGTCATGAAAATAAAGAATACCATCACAATCCTCACAACTATATTTTGTCACTATCATTACAACCACATACATTACATTATAACACGTTTTCAGAAAATATTTATGTTATAATGATGTTCATCACAACATATCAATATCTATAATTTTTACTGCTTATTTTCATAATAAATATTGATGCTATGAACAATAAGTGAAAATAGAATATGAAATAAAGTATAAATCAATCAACTAATCATTGTGTTGTTTATTCACTTACGATAATTAGTAATATGAATTGATAATGAATAAACAGAAATAAACTCAACACCATTGAATATTCATTCTAAAAGAATATAAACTATAAAACTCATGTAAAGACAAAAAGAGATAACAACTCTAACATATGAACAAATAGTTATAGAGAACGACACAACAGAACAAGCAGAAGTCAATGACAAAAGATTAAATAGCTGTGTATATATCAACAATGAAATAAGCAAAACACATGAATTGAATTAGATGAAAGAAGAGAAAATGAAATAAAACCAAAGAATAGAATAACTATGAAAGATGTTATTTAAAAAATACATCAACAATTCATGTATTTCATGTAAAAAGTAAGTAGTGTATAACTAAAAACTTGAATAATAATAACAAATATAACTGATATTTGATGAATGAGATGAAAATAAAGATAAATAATACTGAAAATTAAAACAAATCATAATAAGAAGATAGAAGTTAATTAATTATATAATTTAGCAGAAGAATTTGATGTTTCTTCTCCTAATTGTTCAATCAATCTTTTAATTTCATTTTCATCTTCTGATGTAATAACCTTTTTGGATTGATTAATAACTCTTTCTAATTCACGTGTTTCAATCTTTTTCTTTAATAACTCTTTTTGAATGTCTTCTGCACTCTCTATCATTTCTTTTAATCGTTGTCTGTGAAGAAGTAATTGCTCTTTTCTCTTGTCTTCTGCAGCATGTTCTTCTCCTTCCTTAACTAGTCGATTGATTTCTTCTTCATTCAATCCACCATTACTTTTGACTTGAATCCCTGTTTTCTTTCCTGTTCCTTTGTCAAGTGCAGAGACTTTTACTATTCCATTGACATCAATGTCAAATGTAACTTCAATTTTTGCTACTCCCTTCTTTGCTGGTGGAATTCCAACCAATTTAAATTCTCCTAACTTTTTATTCTTTCTTGTAACTCTACGTTCTCCTTGAAACACTTTAATATCTACTTCTT